TATATTACAGAATTACCACTGTATGTATTATAATGACGAAAACTTACTTGATAGGTCTATTCTCTCAAAGATAAGTTTATTTACGTCCTATCCTGTGTGACCTTTTTCTTTACAGCAAACAAAATACAATTTCACAATAGAAAACATAAACTATTTAAAGCATGAGTTTTGTTTCTGATTAGGGATGCTTTAAAATTTACAGATATGATCAATCAATAATGTGGTCAAAACACGTCATAATAAAACATGTACAAAATATGCATAGTGACACATACTGTCCTTTTACATAACCGTGCCCCCTTTTCCCAAACCAGCAGAGAACTTTGTGGTGTGCTTTAAATAGTTTTGGGTACATGTCGGTATGCTTGCATTTTAATTTGTATCGGAAGTGCACAATCTGGTTTGTTGTTATGGTACTTGCTGCTTTTAATGCTGGGGGATGGGCAATATGGATATACGAACACATTCTTTCTAATTTCAATAACAGACTGGCAGTTAAATATTTACCCACAAAACAGCAGGATGATTTGTTCAAAGCTGTTTGAATGCACAAACACACAAATTGGTCACTTATTTATGTGAACTTTATCAATGATTACAATTAATATTATTTTTGTGGTGTTAGTAGATGAATGAATTGTAACACTTAATATGTAAATGCAGACATTAGATAAAGTTAACATAATAGGGAAGAATCATGACTGAACACGATAACATTTTGTCATTTTATGTATGGGATATTTTATTAATCTGTTTATTAAAATAATTTTCTCTTTAATTTTAACAAAACCTTTATCTTTCATAAGTTGGTCCCCTCGTTCAAACAAATCTAAAAGCTGGTGACTAGCCTCGTTTTTGATTCGTTGACCCAGGGTCACACGAAGACATGAATATGCTGTGAGAATGGTCTATAGTAACACTCGTGTGTTGCCTTCGAGACAGACGAAAATTACATTATTACACATACTACATATTACATACTACATTATTACTATTAAGTCCACATTAGAATATAATCACTCCAGTAAATTTCCAACCACGATGAACTAATGGGCTATATTATCACGAGAAACACACCTGTGAGATTTATTTGATTTTAAATGGCAGTTATATGCAAACCAAAACAAACAAACCGAAAAACACCAATACGATTACGTTCGAAAAATACTTCATATTATGGGCTGCCTCACAATTTAAAGTCTAAGGCCTCCTAAAGCTTCTTTAAAAAAAAAAAGAATTTTGGTCTGAGAGCGGTTAGCTAAGGAGACGCTCTTCATAATACGTACTTCTGACTTAGTGACAGGTGCAAGGTGCATATTTTTTTATATTCATTTACAACATGCACAATAGAGCGAGAGCCGGCGTACTTCAATATCACCTTCTTGCACGGTGTCTGAAGCGACTTTCGATATAGTGCTTATGTAAATTGTACATGATCTAAGCAAACAGCTAACCAAACGGAATGTTCCCATGTGGTCGAAAAATCATCCTCCTTTAGTAAAAATCAGTACTCCATTTTAGATTATTTTCTCATAGTCTTAATATGCACATAATGAGAGCTTCATGCAGTTTTCTGTTTTATATACCTCCTTGTAATCATTCTAGTTATTCTTAAATTTCAATCCAATCCGTATCCCCTTGTAAAACTTTTCGAAGCAAACCCATGGCGCTACCATCGGAAGAGAATGAATACATACCCATAGTTTTACAGTGTTTTTTTTTGTATTCACGTAAATCTATGCAAAACATGTAGCTACTATATACGGTGGCCTAGTGGTTAGAGCGTCCGCTTCGGATGCGTAAGGTCGTGGGTTCGATCCCCGGTCGACTCATACCAAAGACTTACAAAAATGGTACTAACAGTTGCCACGCTTGACGCTCTGCATTAAGAGGTTACTGTTAGGACTGGTCGGCCTGGTGTCAGGATAACGTAACTGGGTGGGGCATGATGCTACATGTCTGCGGCATGATGCTCCAGTGTTAGACATCACTATAAACTGCCACACTGCAGACATCGTAGCGATATGACTGAAAAATTGTTAAAGCTACGCATAATCACATCACATCACTGATTGCCAATACATACCTCCACAAAATAGAGATGGGTATGGTTCGGTCTTCATGATAGAAGCCAGAAACCAGTCTATAATGTCGTGAAAAGACGCTAAATATCATTAACATTTCTTTTCTTTGTTTTATGTTAATATCGCAAAATTGTAATACACTGTCAGGAATTTATTAATAAAAAAACCACTATTATCATCTATGGAACACAATATATCGTCAGGCGATGTCTGTCAACAAGAATAATTGCGAGGGTTCCAATAAATAAACACGACTTATTAACTCATTTCAATAACCACACTTCTGATCCATTCAAAGTTTAATGTCTGAATTGAAATTCACCAAGACAAATTTGTTTGGAATTGCTGAAACGTAAATTGGTGTAAAAATCACCTGCTAAGCGATAGCCTAAACGTAATCGGGCATGTCTAAAAGCTTTTCAAAATTTTAAATAAAGTGGACTTTTTCTCTCCATGTGCAGACGAGAATAATCCCCTCTGACACATTTGTTCTGCGTACGACTGCATTAAATGCATCATTTTTTTCCAGTCTTTCAGAATATAAATAGAGTGAATTGACACTGCTTTTTTGAATCCTAATGAAAGTAACATTTAATAAAGTCTGTCAATTTTTTTTTATTTCAATGTTGGGAAAGTTCATTTATAAAATTGTTTAAGAGTCAATGCAGAAAAACACGTATTTTGCATTTCTTACTATTGCGAGTCAGTTTATGCGTAGAACGTTATATTTTGGATGCTTTTGTCCACGAATGACTTCGTTTTCATAAAAAAAAGTTTTGTTGTACATAATACAATGGCATTTCGAATTACTATTAAAAATATGACGGTTTTTTAAGGTGAAGTTTTATGGAAACATAATTAAGTACAATTTAAACATCAACACGTTTTTAAAGGGAATATTTATGGAAACACTTTTTGAACTGCTATTTATAATATATCACGGTTTTAAGGGGTAATGTTATGGCAACTCACCACATTTCGAAGTGCTATTTAAAAATACCACGGTTTGTACATAAAATGTATGGTAACAAACATCATTTCTAAGTGTTCTTTAAGGGCAAACGCTATGGAAAAGCACGACGTCTCTAAGTGTTGTTTAAAAATATGACGTATTCTAGGGGGAAAAGGGAAACTGTATTTTCCCGTATATATCCCGCGAGTTATACTAGATTTTAGAAACCCCGAAAAGGGTGTGCGGGTGATATAAGGATGCGAACTATATCACAAATTTTTAACACGTACGGTAATATTATTTCAATATATTGCTTGAAAAACATAAGGCCGACTTCGTCCACCTTCCTTGTTGCTGGAATGTCGAAACACATCGGTACTTTGTCAATATTGATAATAGCAAAATAGGGAAGTTCAAGCTTCTGAACTTCCCTGGCGACGAATTCACGAAAGTCATCCATCTTCTGTCAAATACAACCGCTGCATGAATAAGTATAGAGGCGAATAAAGAAGGCTGATGATGTGGATGTGCGTAGATATTTTGGAGAGGGGTCAACGCCATCGGAAGCTCCTGCATTTGAAATCTTTCCAGTGTCTAATTGTATTCTGCCTGTAAAAAAAAAAGAACACTATTGCCTAAAATGTTTCGGTCCTTTTGTGCTCGTATCCTGGGTTTTTGGTGTGGATGTAGGAGAATGTCGCCGTCCCCCCCCCACACACACACTTTCTACCACACCACCTCTAAAGAATTACCTCAGAAAACTTGTCGAAATTGCTTCAGAACTTTCAGCAAGTAGTGTACTATTCACTGGAAAACAGCCCTTAATGACTTTAATTACATATTCCTAATTTACGGAAACACAATTTTGCCTCAATGTTTTACAACTGATGAATTTAATAGCTTTGCTCTAACATTTAGCGACTCTTGAATAGAGAATAAAAGCAATTCCAGGTGACAGAGTAAGTATCAAACAAATATAGATTGTTTAAAACTGGCATGCGCGATCTGCGACCTACGACCTGCGACCTGGATTAATCCGCTTATTTACATTGTAGGGTGTGACCTGAATGAGGGTAAGTTGCACATCATTGGTTTAAACTTTATACAAATAAATTAATTTCAACCGTTTATTTTTGACGTTAAAAATGAGATTAACTGTTATTGTAAGGCAATGTGTTACTTAATGATGCAAGCCATAAAACACTAGGTTTTCTAGTGCAAAAGTTAATCCAGGACGTGCAAGTATCCCCAAAGCCACAAAACTATGATTCAAACGACTATTCATACATTTATATCGATTTATAACTAAACAAATTTCTTTAGAAAACAAAACATTTTAAATGTAAACGTCTCCAACAATATGGTACAATTGAATATAAGCTGATGAACTCGAAAAGATAACATAGGAGCCCCGAGTGGCCGAGTGGTCTAAAGCTCTGTCCGTTACGGATCACTGCCATCTCACCTCTGTCTGCGTGGGTTCGAGTCTAGGATTCGGCAAATGTGGATATGTGAAAAAGCTTGCCAGTAGCTTCTCGTGGGTCGGTGGTTCTTTCCGGTGATTTACCGGTTTCTTCTTCCACCATTAATACTGACCGCCATGAATAGCCTATCGTGTGCTGAAAAATGGCGTTAAACTCAACAACAACTTGAAAAGATAACACTTGAAAAGAAACTTAAATTCTAAAATTTAGTAGCACGTATATATCATGCATAGGATTATATCGTTTGCTGTTGGTGGTGTTTATAATTTTTAACGTAGCTTTAACAATTTTTCATTCATATCTCTACGATGTCTGCAGTGTGGCAGTTTATAGTGATGTCTAGCACTGGGGCATCATGCCGCAGACATGTAGCATGATGTCCCACCCAGTCACATTATCCTGACACCAGGCCTAACACTAACCTCTTAATGCTGAGCGTCAAGCGAGCAGCTGTTAGTACCATTTGTGTAAGTCTTTGGTATGAGTCGATCGGGGATCGAACCAACGACCTCTCGCATCCGAAGCGGACGCTCTAACCACTAGGCCAATGGAGCGGTCGTATCGTTTGCTATCAAATTGATACATTGTAACATCAGAGAGAACAGCGGGCAACTTCTTTCTTGAAATTGCCACAGGGGAGATATAAAAAAGAAATGTGGGTGACTTATTTATTAAATATATATTCTTTGCGTCAACCGCCATCAGAAAGAGTAAAATCTTAAACAGAAACACACCGGAATTACAAGGGTTGGTTTTTCAGCAAGTCTTCTGAGTATCAGTACGCTATAGACCATTTCCCGGTTATGATCTTCCCTTGAAAACACCAGAGGGCGTCTCGGTGAAACTCACTTCCAAATAGTTCAATAAATAAAGATGGCAGATGTAGATCAAGAAAATGTGACCGATCTCTCACATTCCGCAAGCAAAATCGATATAATAATTTCACTGTAATGTTTATAAATTACATATATTAGGTGGGTAGTGTGTAACAAAAATATTGCTTTTAGCGTTTCTATTAAAATATTTAAGATATTTGCGAGTTTAGTATATGATCAATGTCAAAATATTTAACAGAGAAACAACAAAATATATGTTCATGTCCAAACATTTTAGCTTCAATAAAATATAGATGGATGGGTATGTCTTTGAGAAAGGTATATCCCAGGAATACGATTCAACGTCTAGTCAGAACGTGTTACAATATTGCAAACGCCTTTGAAAATAAAAACAAATATGGTTGATACGTGCGATCGCTTGAAAGAGAAACATTGCAATAATTATCGGGTGAAGCGGTCATTCATATAATTCTAGGCTATAATTGCCTATAAAGTTGAGTATAATTGTAGGTTACATTTGCCTATAAAATAGTCATTCTTACCGTTCTATATTGCATTCAGTGCCGGATTAAATCCTGTGGATGCCCCAGGCTGTCTACATCTTTGCAACAGTAAAAAGATAACTATACGCAATACTAGGTCTTCAACATGATTTATTCGCTTCTGAGTTAGAAAACCAACAAACTCAAATTTTGGTTGGCATGTAAATCGTCCAAGTAACAAAATTAAACCAAACAATGTATACTGGTTTATCTTCATTCCAGCACACATCATCCCCCCAACAAAAAATAAATAAATTTAAATAATTGTTGAGCTCGGTCGCTAAAGAAAATGCTATATTTTTTTTTCCTTTCATATCAGCCATTATGTGTTTTACAAACGCTGATGACAAATTCAAGTTTTTGTTTTAATTTCAGTTTGACAGAGGATTTATTAATGAGATTTATTATTAAAGCTTTAGAGGAGTTTATAAATCAATGACTATGCTAAATCAATAGGGTTGATCAAAGTGTCAGGAAAACTGTCGATATCTTTGTCGTGTTAAAATAAATGTGGGAACCACAACACGTCTTCTCTGATGTTCCTTTACCTACTTGGAACAGCCCTTAAATAAAATTGCATTTTTGTGTATCGTACGATTTCTGATTTTATGTACTAGAACATCAGGAGATAAACATTCCTATTCAATCATTCTATTTGGACTTAAATACTGTCTAACGTTAACATGTGCTTTGAGTGAATACAGATGCAATCTGAAAATTATCCTGTAGAGAATGATCGAAATATTTATGTAAATATTTCTTACCAGTTTGATTTTAAATATTCTTTCGTTTAAAGAACCACATATCAACCATGAAAACTTACACTTTAAAAGGAGGCAAAAGCAATAAGCGAAATACAAACATTACACAAATCTCATTTGGCAATATGGGTAAAAAGCGAATAGATGGAATTGGAATTTTCTTAGAAAGACATCGAGTTACATAGCAGCTGTGTTATTGTCCTTACTCCCATGTTACAGGATAATGCGCCGGCATATACGATTCTATGTAGTTTATTATAATAATATATCCTAATGGACTCGAATTTGCAGACGCAAACGCTATGTTAATTGGATTTGGAATTACAAAGGTCACAAAAGCATTGTAAAGAAATGGACGCTATGGCTCGTCCTTAACGTCTAACTTTCGTGCGAGCTTTGAGTGCGATGCCAACAATGAGAGAGAGAGAGAGAGAGAGAGAGAGAGAGAGAGAGAGAGAGAGAGAGAGAGAGAGAGAGAGAGAGAGAGAGAGAGAGAGAGACTTATTGAAATCCCTATAGATAATGAGATGAAGATTGACTCGGAACAGAGTAGTTCTTGAACAAACTTTCCATAGTTCTTTTATTCGGTACAATCCCGTGTATATGTAATTTGCGAAAGATAGATGGAAAGACAAGGATATATACCCTAATATCGACAGTCTTTCAAACATTTATATATCGCGTATAAATTTAATTTTTGTATCTGGAGCATTCAATGCGTACACGTTAAAAGTAATTTCTGTCATTGACATAGTGACATAGTGTCATAGTGTTTAAATCTCTTAAAGTCAATAAATTGTTTCGGGGTAATAAAGATATTTAGCAGGTGTTTGATTTAGCTACGTTTATGCTGATGGTGTTATTCTATGCACTAAAGAATTATATATATGAATAATAAAGTAGAACATCATTAATCGTACTTAATTGATGTTATTATTCATGTAATGGTACGTAAGATTTAGTTTCATGAACTCTAAATAGACATTTGTCCTTATCCGTTTTAGGTCGTGTGTGCAGGGATATGGCAAGGTTATGTAATACGACATAAGCGACGAATCAAAGGATATTGTTAAGATATGAAAGAGACCAAAGCACAAACTTAGATAATTTGGAGGAAGGGTACTGCGAGATTCGTGGCAAAATTTAATGTAGGGCAGAACTCATGTACATTCGGCTGAAAACCTGAGTGTCTGGTTAAGGTGAGCGCTTCTATAACATGCACACAAAAAAGAATTATTCACCCTCCACTTCACCGCACAAAAATAAAAGATATAAAAACGAAAATGAATCTAATATACATACAGACCTATATAAGGCAGCATTTATTTTGGTCGCATATTATCAATGATTTTGATATTGTGCTTGGTGCTTATCTTCATAATATATCTGACGAAGAATTTGTTCAGCACTTACTAGGAAGACTAAGACTATAGAAAGCCTAAATTATTTTGTAACTAACCAGAATGCTTGTTAGCTTGTTAGTTTCTATGGGCAACTAACAAAAAAAAAAAACAAACCAAATGACTGAATTAAATCAAAATCATCCAGCTGGGTTACCTCACGAATAAATTGACTGCACAGCTTTGATTGCGTCACTATATAATTGTAAAAACTTTCAAGTTCTCAAATTTGTTAACTGTATTGTGGACCTCATATAATGTGCTGAGTTAGAGAATATAGGAATTATCCAGTTTATTGGGAAACAAAACGCTATCAGGATTTTACATACAGCATTGCCTTTCCATTTGGATATGTTTGAGTATGCAATTTATATGTGTAATTGGATGTTTATATGTATGAGTTTATGATTTATATAAATAATTGTACATCCTGTCATTCTCGTGTCTTTACCAATTTTGTATATTATTAATCTCTCTAAGAATGCAATAAAGACGGAAAAGAAAAGAACAATGTAGGTGCGATGATAGTTCTGTTAATTTGCAGAGGGAAGATATATATATATATATATATATATATATATATATATATATATATATATATATATATATATATATATATATATATATATATATATATAAAGAATACAAATCATATGGCGAATAACAACCCTTTCAAGCGCACTGGATCCACCGAGGGATCACGAGGGATTGATTAAAATAGATGCAATAAATTGACAACGAACAGTGCGAAACTAGTAACTTACTAGCCTGAGCACTTTCGACTCCTAATGAGTCTTTTTCAAAGGCAAATACAAAAGATATACAAGACAAACAAATAAACACAAAAACGTTGTGTTTGTAAACCTCTACATGACTGTCTCCAGATGGGTTAAAACTAAAAATACAACCAGCTTGTATGATAGTGACCAAGACATTCACTAGCACAGTGACTAAAGAAAAACTAAACATACATGGTCCAAACAAAATGTGCAAAACAGAGAATGTGATTTATCTCATCACATGTAAGATCTGTGGCCTTCAGTACCTCGGAGAAACTGAAAAGCTACACAAAAGGATAAACTTTCATAGATCTGATTGGATGACAAAAAAGCTGTACAAAAGCCCGGTCGCAGAACACTTCTCCTCCGCTGGCCACACTTTCAGTGATATAACATTTATCGCTATTGCTAACAACCACAGCTGGAGTTCCGAAACCAGGAAGGAAAAGGAATCATACTGGATACGCCGCCTTAGAACAGTGAAACCAAGCGGTCTAAACCAAGAAGACTAGAAAAAGAAAACTATGCACTAATAGAATTTAACTTTTTCTAAATCTTCTTAGTATCCTTCAATTTTACTATAAGAATAACTGGTATATAATCAAATATCCGGGATATAATCTGCGTTACATAAATGTACAAAAAAAGTAAAAATAGATGTCGCTTTGGCTTGTAGACTTTTAGCGAATTATACACCGTTTTTAGTATCCGCAACAAGTCTATACAAGCTGATTGTATTTTTAGTTTTAATCCATGTGGAGACAGCCATGTAGAGGTTTACAAACAAAACGTTTATTTGTTTGTCTTATATATGTTTTGTATTTGCCTTTGAAAAAGACTCATTAAGAGTCGAAAGCGCTCAGGCTAGTAAGTTACTAGTGACAATTTATTGCATATATATATATATATATATATATATATATATATATATATATATATATATAGATATATATATATATATATATATATATATATATATATATATATATATATATATATATATACACATATATATATATGTGTGTGTGTGTGTGTGTGTGTGTGTGTGTGTAAGGCATAAATTGTAAAATCCTTCATGAAACGAAATAAGATATTTCATATAAACCAAACACTTAAAAGGTCAGTGGCAGACTAAAGGTAAATAGCGCCCGAGGCAGTGACAATTGCCTCGCCATAAAATTTCCTGAAATTTGATTTATATCGGCTGTTTTGGAACCCCCATGACCTCTGGCGC